CCAAAATCTTTGAAAGGTCAAAGGCTTTCTGCTTTTCCGCCTTTCTTGAAACTTCACCCGAGGATATATTGGTCACTTTTGATCGCGCCTGTGGAACCAGAGAAACCTACAAACATCGTCTCCATTTGAAATGGCACGCTTGGTTTGATTGAACTTGACAAGACAGGTGAAACTGGCTGTGAAATGGTTTTCAGTCTTGTTATTATTTGTTCTATTGAAAAGCCCTAAACCTCAAGTTTCAGTGTCGACATACCTGAGGTCTTTGATATGAGATACCACAAAAGCCATTCCTTGACAGTAGGCAGTGCTTTGCAATGGAAGAATAGCAAAGACAAACTCTGTTGAAAAATAAGTGGAAGAAGATGTCAAGTTGATGGGGACTTTTCGGAAAGCATTACCAGTCATCTGTGTTGAATTATTTGTAAGTTGCAGTCGGCCATCAAGAGTAGTTGCCATTCCATCATGTTGCAGCTCTGTATCTGCTTGACTGAAGTCATAAACCACAAAATGATCCCTGTCTTGAGCTAACACCAAAGACATCACATGGACAGAGATCATCATTATCCAGAAACTCAGTGATTGTAGAGCCTTAGCCATCTTGTGCACCAGTGACCTCTCTCTCTCCCAAAAGAAATTTTGAATGTTAGATTGTTGTGCACTCTCTTTCTTCCCTTTTGTTTTTTCATGAATATGATGTTTTATCAGCTATGTTGCAGACAAGGTCATCTTACTCAACACCTATTTCTGACTTGTGGAAAGAACTATCAACTGCCGAAAACCCTGAGTTGACTTTACATGGAGGATAATGTCCAAGAAAAGTTCTTTCCTTTGAATTGGTGGTTGGTTATCCTTTATCTGAAAGGTGGTAGATTTTGAAGTGGACTCTGCTTTTATTGCTATGTAATCATTACTTGTTGCTTTCCTAGCGGATGGATCATACCCGTGATAGAACATTTCAGGTGTAGTCTTATTTGTTTTGAGACGTTACCATATTTCAGAGATAGAGTGATTAATTGGAATATAACATTTGGAATTCCAAATAAATGTTAACATCAGCCAGGTTTTGACCAGTCAAGGTCATATGTTATATTCTATGTGAACCTTAGCTTTCCTACAAACGTGCAC